CTACACCTTCTCTCGTTTGGAACCCTTCCCATACCCTTATCTGCCCACAAAGGCTTGCAGGGCTAGCACAGCCAAGACAGATCTGCAGCTTTTGCACGTAAGATCACTACTCTCGAACAGCTGAGATCCTTCACGTTCTCCAACTGGCAATTTAGCCTGGCGAAATCAGTAACCCACTCAACTGAACCACCAGCGCGCAGATGCAAGATCTTGCACATAAATCTGGTTTTCCTAGATAAGTTGTGCTTGTTGCCAGATGACAAACATCTATTTCAGAAACATCAAAGTGCACACTCGCGCACAATTCTGGTCATGCTTGCTCAGAGCCAGCGAGCTGCCAACTAAAGAAACCGAATGACTGATTTTATTCGGCCATCCTCCCACTTCCTTTTAATAAGAAATATGCAACAACTTAAAATGCTGAGATTTCTGTGCGAGCCAATTAAAATGAGCATTCCACATGCGAACGCAGCTTGACTCCTGCCAATGCTTCCAGGAAGCAGAGGCCTGGCAAGAGACCAGCAGACTGCCTTTTCCTGTCCCCTGTTGACAAGTGGAAAGTGCTGCCTGACAAACTGGGAAGGAAAAAGTCCCACGGGCACTGCACAGTCACGAGCAGACCGGAGCACGGCTGTTGGGCTCTTGGCAACCTCTGCCACACTGCCGACGACAGACGAGGGCAGGAGAAGCTAACACCTTGCTTATTAATCCGCTCTCCCGTTCACCTCGAACGGGAACCAGTACCAGGCAGCCCATGGAAAGAAGTAACCCCTAAGAGAACTACAGCTTCAAGGATTGGCGTCAGCCCCACCCAATCTGTATTGAGGCATTATGGCCTCTTGGGAGTTGTTAAGTCCCGGCAGTAGAAAAAGTCTCTGAGCTCTGAAAGTAGGCTTCGGAGAGGATGAAGGGAAGACCTTCCGTGAGCAGGGACATTATCGCAAAGAGCCAGATGCGAATAGTGGCCTACGATACATGTGCACCCCTTACGCTGAACACTAAATTAAAAACAAAGAGGCCACACAGGGTTCAAGTGGAGATGTCATCGGGACTGGGACTAATCGCGTCAGCACAGAGCTCACATAGCCCTCATGTTCCTACCTTGGAAATCAGGAAGGATTTGATTAGAGGCTCTGCTTTGCAACATATCCACTGCAGCCGAGATGCTGGAGACGTGACCGTTCCAAAGCCTGAGCCTTGTAGGAACAGATCAGGAATGGCACCGACTGAGAGAAAGCATATGACTGAATGTCGGTTTCAATCCAGATGCACACTTGCTGCTTGGCGCTCACACTGGAGGGAGGAGACACACACAGGACACGCGCTGGCTTCGCTTCACTCATGAAGAAAAGGGAAATGGAAGCCCCTCTTCTCAGACGCGTTCCTCACCGCCCCCTCTCCAGCCCGCCTCCGCAGTCATTACGCCCGTAACCTCTGACGTGAGCAGACCCGCTACTGTCGCTTCCCCACCTCAAACACCCCATCAAATCCCAAATCTACTCCCCGCACCAAGGCCTGAAGACCCTCCGGGCTCAGCCCCACCAGCCCTCTCCCCCTCTTGCTTCCACGCCGGCACGACTGCTCCAGAGCACGTTCACAGCTATGTCTGAAATGAATTAAAAAAAAGGACTTCTCGGCGAGAGGAACTTTTCCGAAAGAAATCGGATTGAAATGAGAGCACGTCCTGCTCTGAACGCAAGAAAGGTCACAGATGAGAAGAAGCCATTTGGCACATTAACCCATAAATGCTTTGAAGATATGGAGTCCAGGAGACTGCTTCGGTTTAAACAGAATGAAACAATGAACAGGTTGAAGGATAACTCCATGCTGAAAAGCAGAAACACTGCTCACTTTGCAGCGTGTTATTGACCTTTCCTTGCTCCTCTGCAGCAGCTCCCTATTCGAACTCATATTCAATTATGACTGACAGAATAAAACCAGATGGGAAAGAAAGCTACAGATCCACCTGATAAGGGAGCAGGGTTGGGGGAAAAAAAAAACAAACAGGCTGATCGAACGCTGAGCCAAGCACACGTGTCCTTTGGAAGAGCGAGGCTGTTTCGTGTTTGGTTTGCGCCACGCTTGTCTTTTCGCAAGAGGTGAAACTCAGATGGTGGTGGCCAGAGTGCTGGGTCTGCCGCCAGCTCGGGGCCCACGTTGCGATCGGAGGGGGGGGGTGGAGTTTCAAGGTTAGCTGGCGTTCTGTCAAAACAGTCCACGACAGAGATTGGGGAAACAAAAACAAGACAGATCTGATCACCCTGCTTCTGTTTGACCAGGGCTGTCAAACTCAGTTCCTTGGTGGGCCCGGTCTCTCAGGGACCTTTCTGTTCCCACCTGCATAGTCAATCAAACCATTTAACTAATTATTTTCCAAGTTACATAACAAAGGTCTTTTCATAAGGTCTTTTTGCGGATTATTAGATAAGGCATTCACTTAAAAGTCCTTCTAAAATACCGCAAAGCTGGGACAGAAGTATTACAACTGTGCAGTTTATTAAATAATTAGGCCAACTGTTCTAAACTGTTCTACAAGTGAAGGCTTGTATTTTTTCTTTAAGATCCAAGTACTACACCTCGACTAGTATCGGAGAGTTGAGGATTAGCGGCAGGACACCAGGGATCAAAGCATAGTGGAGAGGATTGTAAAGTGCACCAGGCTCCCTGCCGCTCACTACACCTCTGAGGAGGGGCAGCAGGACAGGCGTCCAACATGGCGACGTCAGCAACAGGAGAGAGCTGCTCACCCGCTGGCAAACAGGTGGCCAAAGAGGGCTCGGACCTCTGGGAAACAAAATCCAGTGTGGAGAATAAGCTTGCCTTTCACAACCACCCCCAGCGCGTTACCTTTCTGCTCACTCCCAGGGCGTGCGTGTGCATGCGTGCGGGGGTGGAGAGGGAGCTCTCCAGAGCAGAAGCAAAGCTCTCTGCATGGCAGCAGAACCCAAAAGAAAATTACAACCCGTCATGAACAAAGATCGCAGATCCCTGAAACGGTCTTTCTCCAGGTACCATTTTGCTCTGCAGCCTATATATCCATGTGTTCCTCATAAAATGCTTTTGTCAATTGCAACTGCAAACCTGTCTCCGTGAAGGACCGTACGGGCAGCACCAGCTCCCGAGACAGAAGAGAGCTGGAGAGAGAGAGAGAAAGAGCAGGAGCCAGATTCCTCACACAGCTGTCTGAACAACAAGCACCAGACTTCAATCAGCCATGTCGGCTCTGGGGTTTTGCACATTTAACAGATAATTGCCCTGCTTTTTTTATGTACTGCCAGAGCAGCAGACCCGGGGGTTGGGACTGTTCTTTTAAAAAAAGCCACATAGTCAAGACTATGTTGTTTTTCTGTGCATAAATTAGCCTCAGAGCTGGGGGGAAAACTCACTGCACAAATAAAAGCAGACCAGGATCACCAGGTGATCAGCTATACTCTGTGTCTTTCTGCAGGTACATGATGCTCTACACTTGTTCTTTGTATTTTTAGATGACCTCTTCTACTTGGACGGTCATTGTTCTGGAGCTGGGCTGGGGGAAGGTGCTTGAGGGTGTACAAACTGTGACAAATGCGCTGCTCCCAGACTCTGGGAACAACAGCTGGTCGGCTCCTGCAACCCAGCGTGTAACAGATTGAAAACGGAGGCCCCTCTATGGACCCCAGTTAAAAACCCATTATCCCTCTTCCTGCTCCAATGTGCTCCTCTAAAGCAGCTAATACAATTAGGAGCAAAAGGCGGTTTTGTTTCTGTGGTCCTGGGCTTCCTGCCAGAAAAAAGGGCTCTGCTCCGAGGCTACACACTGTCACCAGGGATCGTTTCATAATCTAATTTTAAAAACTGAATTCTGCCCCCACTCCGTAAAAATGAGCAGAACTATTCACCAAAACAAAAAAGACTGAAGGGACCACGGCACTGCGACACAGTGGAAGGCCTTTTTCCGGCCGGTCAGGCTGTCACTGTGGAGCTCACGTATGCAGAGCAGCCAAAACACGCTCATGCAGCTCTGCTGTGCAACCTCTCCAAGAAGAGCACCAGGGACATCAAAAAGAAAAAGCCAAAATAGCCATTTCCCAACTATGGAAACAGACCCCATTATCTCTCTCTGCGGATAATAACCGTCTGCTGCAGAAGGAGAGAGAGAAGGGCTGGATCCACACAAAAACACTTGTGATGCCAATATTAACACAGGGCTCCACACAAAGAAAGCCGACTACCACATAACCAAGAACAAAGCTTGATTCACGCTGCTCAGAGGAACCGGTGTCTTCGTGGGCTTTCCTGGCAGGTGGGGAAAGTCTCTGCAACAAACACGCCACAGAGCGTCGCACGAATGAGGGGGAGCTGTGGTGTTTGGGAGCCCCCCAGAGACACACATTTGCCTTCGTCCATTTTCGTGGACCCCCATTTCGATTTAACATGCCAGCCTTCGGTGAAATGAAACAGCAAGGGGATTAAGAGCACAAGCAAAAACTAGATATTTTTTGCGACGTGCAGATCTGAAAATTGTTTTTTTGTTTACAATTTCAGATTGTCCCCGTGTCACTCGTCAGGAGTCTGAGATCACACACGCACGCACACACGCACACAGGCACTCACCTCGTGTCTGGATCCGGAAGTTAATCTTACTCTCTGAGGGGTGAGTGATGCTGTACCCACAGAACTCGACTTCGGGGCTGTGCAACACAAAACGCACATGAACCCGGCGGCTCTTTAACACGTCATTGACTATTTTCAACACAGCGACACACGACAAACGTAGAGGTCGATGCAATTGAAGAAATACTCCACTGCACAGCCATTTAAAACATTCCGGGGTTTAAGAGCTGCAGTCTCCCACACGTTAAGGCTGTGCTTGATACCGGAAGTCCGAAAAGCTGTTTTGAGCTCAGCCATGTATCAAGTTAACATATTACAGTATATGAAACCAAAGAAACCATCGGTACAAAAGCCAGCGGCCAGTATATCTGAAAGTGATTGTCAGAGCGCTTGTGCACCAGGGCTTGGGACCTCCAGGCAGAGAGGGGAAACTCACTTTTTCATGACCATGTAGCGCAGGGCATTGCCCAGAGTGTGGTCCTCGTCGTGCAGCACAAACGTCACACAGGAGTCATCCCCGCCCTCCGCCTGCACCTGCGGAAGACAAAGGGCACCGCGGCAATCAGGACCTCTCGGAAATCACCAGGCGGACAAAACGACCTGCAAACAGGCTGGGTGAGGCGACTCGCGCTGGTGTGCGCATCCTGAGCGGAAGTCTGTTCGCCGACCACTTCTGTGTAAATGAAATGGCGTCACCTTGCTTAAGATGGGCAAAATGTGGCTAACGCACTTTAGGGATACACGATAAAGTGCCCATCCTGCTGTATCCTGGCATTTTTGCAGTTTGGATCCTTCTGCTGCTCCTTTTTCAGGACAACAAGGCCACACTCTTGCCCAAAGCACCAGGATCTGCATTTAATAATCAGAGTGCCGAGCAGCAGTGTGAAACCCTGATGGTGGGATGTCTCGATCACTGTCCTTGTGGCCCCGCTGTCTGATGGCATGACTCTTACTCAACCCTTGGTCAGGCAATCAACCCCTTGTTCGGGGCTCATACCCGGATTCATTCAATCTTTTTGATTTCTGCTCTGAAGCAGTGAGAGAAATGAAAGGCTAGGAGCCGAAAAAAACAAGGCTTCACAATTTCCCAAGCCGGACGATCGATGAAGGGCACGATGAAGGGGGAGCCCGGCTGTGGAGATACCCAGAAGACTCCTTCGGCTCACGAGGAGCTGGAACGGAAAGCCCAGCAGTAAGCTGACAAGCGCAGCGAGCAAGCTTTCATAGCGAGTACTGCGGCGATTAAGGATGAGGTTTTGAGGAGAGAAAGAGAGGCACCTCTGGGCCTAAGAGAAAGGGCAGAATTCAGGTTTGGCTGCAGCTCTAGCCTGCCTGACTGGAGCTGCACGTGAGGCCTCTGTGATCCCCTGTGGTGGAGCATGTCTTTTTCACAGGAAGGCCTCTGTCTGCCCAGACAGCTACAGAAACTCTATTCCCTGCTCCCACTTTTCAAGACAACATTCCAAGTCATTTTTAGGAAACGTGGAAAAAAAGAACACTATGTACTTAAAAGCAAAAACAGCTAACAAAACATGTTTAATACCTTCAGCTCTTTTTCAACGGGAGATGGAATTCAGCCTTTATTGTGTGAAACTGGGAAATCTGGGTGTTTGAGCTGGGTGGACGTGATAATCCCCGCAGATCGCAGGAAGAAATCACAATTATAAGGATCTGCTGGTCAGCGGCAGCACTACCTCCGGGTGCCCCCTAGCTGGTAAAAGGTGGTATCGCCGAGAAGAATGAAAACGCTCTAGAAACTTCACAATTTCACACAGAAATAATTCTGCAGCGTACAACTCTCCATCGTCTGGAAAGTTGTGCAGACATACAAAGTCTCCCTAGTGTGACAGAAACCGTACTTCATTTTCATTTTATCCAGCCGATAACGAAATTATTTTTGTTGTTCGTCTTATCCTTCAGATATTTTTCCCAAGACGCTTAAGTAGGTTATAGAGAACAACTGGCCATATGAAATATAGCTAGTATACCGTTTTAGGCTACGGGAACAGTTAGCTTAGACAAGGACTGCCATAAACCCTGCTTTCTCAGGTAGTGGTCTGTTTTCTGGGGGGTTTTGAGAGTCGCGCGGTAAATATGGGACATGAGATAAGATTTCGGAGAAACAAAACTCGCTAAATCCCTGCACATGATGCTGCAACTGCTCCTTTCAGTAAGATTTTTCACCGAAATCGGTTCGCTCAAGGAAATCACAGAATTTCCCCCAACTGACAATTGCCAGAGTAGACACGTTGATGCCAAGTTCGCCGTGACCGTATTTTAATTTCAAATACCAGACGCAAGTCACACCCCACTCCTAAAATAGACTATGGGCTTGTGCATTGAGTTTCTCGCATTTTCATTTAAACGGTCACTCAGAACAGTACTCACCACTTCCAGCACAGGTTTCTTCTCATCCTCACCGGTGGCCATGCTTGTTACCGATCTCCTTTGGCGCATCAATGTGACGTTTTAGACAGGGCAGCGCAAGGAAATGTGGGTAATGTAGTGGAATTCCACTACACGGACGCCTTCTTAGATTGTCTCGTTTCTAAAATGTTTACTGCCAAGGCACAGTGAAACAATGTTACATCGATTGTAAAATCGACTTACAGTTACATAGTTAAAAAAAACCTTCTAAAACAAGAACCTTGTCGTCCCGGAGAATACAAACGGGGATTAGAGTGAACTGATTTAAACGGATACATCAAACTTAAAAGTTTTTCTAACTTCCGAATGATGCCTTTAAACCCGCTTCACTCGCTCATTACGTGTTGTTTTGTTTGCAGTAAGTTAATTTCCAAAGGCAGCTTCGAGTCAAATGTTATTTTGAGCCCGTAAAGTCTTTTTCCCGCAGCAGAGGTTGTAAACTACAAGCCCCATGATTCCAAGGGACAGACGAAAGTGGTCCGTCAGAGGAGCACCAGGTGACTCAGAACTGGGAATTAAAAACATACGTACGGACGGGAAGGATTACGGAAATATACGCTGTTTTTTATTTTAAAGAGGGCCGTTCCGAAGATAGTTTTCACGGAAGGCGATTCAGAGGTACAGTACGGGGCACGATTAATGGCGGTGTGTTACGACGGCTGTATCGTTGCAATCTACGGCGTATGACATGTCGGAGAAACGGAGGTGTCTGTGTGTATAGAGGTCTCCAGAATTGAAAGAGAAAGCTGACAAAATCATGTTAGAAGAGCTTTTGGGGGGTCCACGCGAGCTGTCTAAAACACAGCGGAGGTCGTTTAGGAGCTCTTGAAATAGACTATAGAATATGCTCTTATTCTAAGGTAATTCATGTTCCGAGCTTTGGCAGATAACGCGGCTTAAAGTGGTACCGCAGTGTAACCGACACTGTTGAACAGTCAGTGTGAGACTGTTAACACGGTCTGTTCCAGCTACATGGTGAAGAGCTGATGGTGAAATCGGCTCTTGTGGTTACAAGACGGGGGGCTGAAACGATTTGGGAACTTAAAATACTCCTTTCCGGATCGGAATGACGTATAGTTTGCAGGAACATGTATTTCTGAAATCAAACGGTTTTTTTTTTGGGGGGTGCATTGGAAAAAGTGTTGTTTAAATTAGCACGGCGTCGCCGGCGTGCGCGCGCGGCTGAGCGGTGGATCCCGGGGCAGGTGGGCAGTTAGCGTGCGTTTGCAGCCCGGAGTGAGCTGAGGTGTGGGATTCCAGGGCCGGTGTCTTCCGTTCGCGTTACACTGGGCAGCTCTGAAGCCCGGAGACGGGTGTTAATCTCAGCCGGCGGTCAAATGCGCTTGTAAAGGTAGCCGGCCTGTTTCAACAGCTGTATGGGAAATCCTGTAGCCATACAAATGGAATTTTGTATCCATACAAGTGGATCAGGTCGGATCATACCCCCCTGACCAGCGACGGCACGCACCTGGGCGGTCGGTGTGCACAGTGGCACGCAGCCAGACACTGCCCTCCGTCCTCCAAGGTGAAGCTGGAAGGGTTTACTGGCCCGCTAGTCGGTACCTGTGCTGTGTTCAGAGCTGTATCACATGCCTTGTGTCACATGAGCATTCCTGTGCCCCAGTACACACCCAATGGGGTAGAATGGCTTAGTGCGCTCGAGCCCAAGCAGGTGCTGGGTGAGCACTGTGAACCGTGGACCGGGGGCCAGTCCGATTCATGACTGTCGAAGCTGGTAGTCAGCCTCGGGTGACATTTGAGGGCTTCTAACCTACAGAGCGCAGTAGTGGGAGTGGCAGGTCATGGGGAGGGGCAGATCTCACTGTAGCTCGACTGGCTGCTTCCCTGTTTTGTGACGCCGGAGGCCCGGGTTTGATTCCCCAGCTGGCAGGGCGCATACCCACGTGAGCCCGAAAGCGCTACATTATTAGGGCGGAGCAGTGGTACCGTGGCTAAGGATCTGCACCTGTGGCTGGAAGGTTGCCGGTTCAAATCCTGTGGCCGGCAGAGGAATCCTACTCCTACCCTGAGCAAGGCCCCTAACCCCCAACTGCTCCAGGCGTGGTATAAATGTCTGACCCTGCGCTCTGACCTCAAGCTTCTCTCCCTGTCTGTGTGTCTCATGGAGAGCAAGTTGGGGTATGCGAAAAGACACATTCCTAATGCCTAATGGCCAAATTCCTAATTGTATATGCCAATAAAGTGATCTTATCTTATCTTACCCTCACACCTTTCTCCTTCTGTCTTGTGTCTCTGATGCAGTCAAGTGCCCCAGCCTCGCTTTCCGTGCTCCCACCCCACTCGCACGCTTGCGGGCTGCTTCCCAGTGGTTTCTCCTCCGCAAGCCCCCCCCCGTCCTCATCACCCCTCCTCCTGCTCCTGTTGCCATGGCGATCCTGTTTGCGGTGGTGGCGCGCGGCACCACGATCCTGGCCAAGCACGCCTGGTGTGGCGGGAACTTCCTGGAGGTGACGGAGCAGATCCTGGCCAAGATCCCGTCGGAGAACAACAAGCTGACCTACTCCCACAGCAAGTGAGTGTCCCTCCCGTGCCGGCCACCAGGGGGCTCTGTTCCGAGTGTCTGGCTGCCAGCTTGCAAAACTTGACTTTTGGGGAGTGCAACAGCCCTCTGCTGGGATTGGAAAAGCACTCTTGCTTGATCACTTCCCTAAGCCTAACACCTTAGGAGCATTGTTTTCATTGTCAATTGCTTCTTATCCTATATCTGCCCAATTTGGAGTTGCCAGTTGTGTTGTTATGCCTAACTAACTACCTTTTACGATTAGGTTAGCTGTTCCTAAGGCTCAGCCCACTGTGGTGACCCCATACAAGGACAGTGAGAAAGTGCTGGAAGGTTTCTCCAGCCCTACCCACCCGCTGTAGACTCGGCCATAACGTACAGCAGGTACCGCCTCGATTGGAGGAGAGGCGCGCGCCCTTCCTGGGCGTCACCACAGGCCTGCAGGGGTCGCTGTTTCTCCTGGGCCCGAATCATCCCACCCCCACCCCACTTGGTGCTCAGGCAACTGCGTGCCACCTGCTGGGGAGTCCAGTCACAGCCAGCTGGTTCCATCTCCCGGTCTGGATCACAGAGCTCAGCCTGCAAGTGCCTTTTTCCCACTCGGGCAGCTTAAGACCATTTTTTTCCACGTAGCGCAATCCTCACGGGGCTCTGTGAATAATTCAAAACCAAGAGTAACGGATGGCTCAAATGCATACTCAAAAAAGTGAATTTAATATTCACCCTGGTTTTTAATTCCAAGCTGGAACGGCGCTGCGTGGATCAGCCAGAAACAAGAGCTTCTCCAAGCTGCCTCTTGAGGAGCGTGGACAGCTGTCTTTCAGTTTCCGCTTCAGCAATGCTTACCTAACGAAGCCTGAGTGGCTGCCTGCGTGCACTGTTTTCACTTCCCCTTCTCCCCTTTCTTTGCAGCTATCTCTTTCATTACGTCTGTCAGGACAGGATCATTTACCTGTGCATCACAGACGATGTGAGTATCCCTGCCCTCTGCGCGGCCGGCGAAGCTGTGCCTCGGCCTCCGCAGCCGGCCTAGCCTGTCTGTTCTCCTCCCGCCCGCAGGACTTCGAGAGGTCCAGGGCCTTCAGCTTCCTAAACGAGGTGAAGAAGCGCTTCCAGACGACGTACGGGTCCCGCGCGCAGACGGCGCTGCCCTACGCCATGAACAGCGAGTTCTCCAGCACGCTGGCCGCGCAGATGGTGAGGGGAGCTGACGGGCGAGGGGAGCCCGTTCGGCCCCTCTAGTGCGCCTGGCATCGCTGACCCGACGGCCTGGTCCTGTGGGCTCCAGCCTCATGGCTGGGTAGCTTGTTCTGCCCTCCCCATGTTGACACATCGGGAGAGTTGCCCCGTGTGGTCAGTGTGCAGGGGGCAGTGTGCAGTCTCTGACTGGGTGTGGCCATTGTGTTGAGTTAAGCAAAAACAAAAGACCCTGCAAGTGAAAAATTAGGTATCCCCTGTGTCTATTTCTTAGGGTGAAATCGGCATATTGAAGTCTTCCTGTTTGCCACTTTTAATTAGTCCCATCAGGAGGGCACTCTGCACTTTTTTTCCTCTTGGCTTTGTAGTATCAAGGCTTGGATTTTCCCTGCTCAACAAAAATGTTGAGCGGGTAATATTTCGTGAGCAGGGCTTGTGGTCAGCTGAGCTGGAGAGGTGTTGCAGAGGCCAAGAGGCCAGGCTGTGGCTTGAGGGGAGAGACCGGCTCCCACCGAGGGGAGACCTAACCCAGAACAAGCCAGATTAGGCTCTGCTGTTCCCTGCTGAGCTCCGGTCCATTTGTGGTCTGTGGTGTGTTCAGGGTCCCGAAGGTGAACCCCTAAATTGTGGAGTTTGGCTGAAATTAAGCCCACCCATAGTGTATTCTGGATAGTAGAGGAAGGAAGCAAAGGAGAAAGAATTAAAGTAAAAGCTCATTGGATTAAAAATGAGACTTTATGTCTGTTGTTTGTTTATAATACTTGAATCAATGACGAGCGTGCGTAACCAGGACAGAGATTGCATATGTATGGAATAGGGCTCCTCTTGGCAGAGAGGCGCTGAGACAGTGCCTGGCTGTTCAGGGGAGAGCCAGGGATTAAGGGGCCCAGTCAGAAGCCGGTTCTGCAAGCTCTGAGCCCCCATTGTGGAGCCCCGAGTCACACTGTCTCATGATGCAGGCATGATGGGGTCACCGCCTCAGGCTGGCTGCTTTACATTGTGCTCTGTGACTTATGAACAACCCTCCCACCTCCGGCTGAGTCTCCTCACTGAGATCTAAAGTTAAAACAGCGATCACAGAGCTGATGCTGTTTGTTGTTTTTTTTTCTGCTGCTTTAAGTTTCTGGGTTTTGTATGGAGTTAGAAATGGGATTCCGTTAAGGAAAGTAGCCGGGCTCCTGCCTGTCAGGCGACTGTGCTGCAGGCTGCTTCTGTTTGAAATATAGGAGCAGCTTGCTTGCAGTTCTGTTGCACATTCACTACTGCTGTAATAATTACAAATGGAGCAAAGGTTTCACTGACTGTGGTCAGGGGGCAGGGGGCAGTGTGGGGACTCTCG